CCCGATCAAAAAAAGTCCTACACAAATACAAAGCAGTGAAAACAAAAACACATTTTACATACAAAGCTGGCTGCTCTGATATAGATGGAAAACCGAAGTGAAAGATCACTGGGGAAAAAGGGCTGAGCTGAATGAGACGTTTTGGCCAAGCATAACACTTGAAATGCTGCGCAAAGATGTCTGATGAGGACTGCAGTTCCAGGCAGAAGGTGATGGCAGGAGGACAGACAGTTTGTACACACAGACAGGTATTTTGTAGCGTATTAAAAACCCAAGAAGTGAGGCATCCACATGTGCATCTAGAGACATGAGGCTGCTCGGCCCGTGGTACAGGGGAGGCCACCTGTGGGACGATGCTCCCACAAGCAGGATGCAGGAGGTGACAGGGAGCAGGGGCAGTTTGGGCACATGTGCAGCCTCACTCTGACTGCAGAAAAGCTTGGTGGGTGCCAGGGCCTGGCCAAGTAGACATGAGGACTTTGCTTGAGGAGGAACCCAGCAGCAAAGCCCAGCCTCAGCACAGCAAAGCTAACGTCGTGCTAAGGCAGCACCAAGCAGCCCCATCAAACAAGTCAGCGAACACACACAAAGAACACAACAACAGCCAAAACGAATTTATACAGAGAAGATGAGGCCATTCGGGGTGGTGGGAGCACATGATGCAGAGGGGCTGAAGAAGGTAGACAAAGTCCACGTGGTGGCACGGGTCATGAATGTGGCAGCTGGTGGCACAGCAGGTCACCCAAAGAGCCTGCACAGCTTTAGATATGGGAAGTGTCCTCTTGCCATTCCTCATCATGTAATTCTTTAAAACTTCTGTGTCTTTAAAACTCTCGGTTTTGGCATCCCTACAGACATTGTGTAATAGGAAGAGTCACTGGATTTGTTGTTTCAGCAAATGCAAAGGTAAAAGCAGCCCTTCCGTCCATCTGGCGTCATTTTCTGCAAGGCTCAGGTGATTACATCTCAGCAGTTATCTTTGTACCAAACCCAGCAAGATGTGATGAAATTGTAGTGCTCATTTCAGAGACATCCGGCCTTGACTGAAAGGTCTCACTCAGCTTTGGATCGTAAGCCCGGGGATGTCATAAGAACAAGTCAATTATTCTGCAAATGAAGGGAAATACTTCACAAATTTCAGCTGAACTAAGTAAAGAAGAGAAATAAATCTGCAAACCATCAAGCAGTGCGTCTGTTTATAATTATTATCATGCAAGAAATATAATGTTAGTTGAGCAACATAATTCTTTTTGTGTTTTGGGATTTCCTAGTTTGCATCTTTTTGCCTACAGATCTAGATCTCCAGAGCAGATAAATTTGTTTTCCTGGTGCTGCATATAAATGGATCTTGACAGGAAATTTCTCCTTTCAAAGTATCGCTCGCATGGCTGTATTCAGCAGACTCAGTTCAAATACTGCTCCTCGCTTTGTTCTTGTAAGTTGTGAGTAATACCCAGGCTTGCTCACATGGCGAGCTGCACTCATGACAGCATTCCTGAAATAACGCCGGCTGCCCATCGCTCACAAGGCTCCAGCCTTTCAGTCTCTCCTGCCTCCAGGCTCACTCGTGTTAGCAGCTGAAGCTGGGTTTAGCTGCTGGCCACATAACAAAGGTGCGCTGGCCTAATGCACGGTCTGGAGTTGAGGTGCCCAGAAACTGTTCAGGAAAAAAATAAAGTTATAAAATAACCTGAAGGATGTGAGAATCAGAGCTCAGATTTAGTATTTTTGAGCAGTTCTCACCCTTCCTCTCGGGACTGCAGTTGATCTTTGATCATTTCCCTCATTTACAAACGCTGTCATCTCACCATTCTCCTCCTACTCTGTATCATTAATACAAATCTGGAAACAATGGCTTTCTCCCTGCTAAAACATTGCAACATCCAACTATTTGTTTCCTCTTCTAAAACGGATCATTCATTATAGCCCATATCCCCAAAAGAATTTTATCACTTGGAACCTGTTTGCAGTGAATCTAAAGTAGCTGGAAAACCGTCTTCTCAGAAATTCCTGCGTGCGCTGGAGCCGACTTCTGGAAGCCCAATAAAGTGCCGAGTCCCTCTGCAGGCAATATCCATTTTTCTTCTTTCTGATACAGTCTCCGGCAGTAACCCCTGCAGCTGTTCATGATCCATTTTTGCTGCTGAAATTCAGTGCTGGGCTACGCTAGCTCTTGCACCCACTTCATCCCGGAGAGTTGCGATAATTGCCTCCTGGCTTCGCTGCTCCCACCACCTCCATGCTTATCACAGAGGTCAGCTTTCCTTTTCTCTCTCCTCTAACAAACTCGTTATTTGCTGGTTTCTCTTGCAGTGGGCAGGATGCTGCTCCCTGGCTCTTGCCCTAGTCCAGTTTTCTTGCTGTTTGTGGAGCTCGTTTGAATACTTCCTCTAAAAGGGACATCTCTACCTCTCAGCACTTGAACGTAGCATTTTACTTTATTTTCCAGGGTCCCCAGCAGCAGAGGGTTGGGGTGAACAGTGGCCTGCATCAGGGAATGTGACTGAAATACATTTACTTGCAACTTCGGGAGCTGTGTGAGCAGGGCTTTTCCCAAAAGTCCTGAGCAGCTATTAGAATTAAGGTGGTTTTTGTAAAAAACCTAAATAGAGGTAACATACTTCTTTTTACTTTTTTTTTTTTTTTTTTTTGCAACCTAGTAACATTAAAGTATATTAAAGCTGAGGTGTGGGACCCAAATTGCCTAACTACTGCTGGAAAAGGAAAAATGCTGCACGTAAAACAAAATTCTGCAAAATTATCCTATGGCTTTGGGAGGGGACAGACGTATCCCCTTCTGAATAACAGCAGATCCTGGATGACTGAGATAGGGGCAATACGGGCTGGGGAGCGGCGGCAGAACCTCACTTGCTGAAATCAGCCTGGAGGTGTTGCTCACAAATTGTCGCCGAAGCACTGTGAGAGGAGTGCAGACAGGGCAACTTCTGCAGAGATACTAATGACACTCTTACTTCCAGGGGCTTTCAGCAGATATTATGTACCCGCTTCTCTGTTTGAAAATGTGTCTCTTGATGTAAAACAAGAGGTCTTCACATTTTTAAACAACTCTTTCACTCACATAGAGTATCTCCTTTGCTTAGGTGAACCGGCCATCGAGCAGGGGGGATGCTGCCTAGAAACAAAAGTGCTTTCTGCAAATACAGCTGTTTCCAGCCTATGTCAATGCAATGCAGTTAAACTTCCCAGTCAATTATAATTAATTATAACATTAATGACAATACTGACCATGCAAACACATAAAAAAGCCATTCTGTGCTGTTGCTTAAAGCCAGTCTGTTGCTTCATGTCCCATGTCTGCCACCAGCCAACCCTGAGAGAGTCACTTAGCTTTCTTTCCCTCCCACCCTCGTCTATTTAAATCTGAACCTCTGTGAGACAGCAAATGTTTTTCTTCAATGGGGTGTGCATGGTTCCTGCCACGGTGGGACTCGTGTCTCGTCTGGGACCTTGAGGCACTGCGGTAAGAAATAAAGCAGAAATAGCTGGCAGGTGAGCAGCAGCACCTCCCGACCTCAGCAGGAGACTTCTGATCTCAGAGGTGCTCTGTTTTTATCCAAAGAGCAACATACACTTGGGTGCTATCCAAGCCTGAGCATCTCCTCCTAGTTCCGTCTCTTGAAATGAGTGAACAGGCAGCCCGTGCTCTCACGGTGGGGAATTCGGGCTCTGCAAATGACTTCATGTCTTCAGCCAGGAGAGCGAGTCGGGGGCCACCTTTTCATGAAGGGTCTGCGGGCCAGGCCAGCTGCCTCTCACTTCTCATTTTGATGCCGCTTTTAAAAAAAAAACAAACCAGAGGCCACACAGCAATGTTAACGCGCAGAGGCCCCTGAGCCCGGTGGGACCTCAGCCGCCACCACCTGAGTAGCAGACAGACCCCAAAAAAGTCTGGAGAGCTACCGGGACCTGTGGCGGCCGCTCCGCATCCGACACCTGCGATGCGGGGCCAGGTGGAAAGCCCCAGCCAGGCTGTGGTCCCTGCTCGACCCCAGCACGGAGGGGACACCCAGGGCAGAGCCAGGGTGAGGACACGTCCCCACCGAGCTGCCACCTGTGCCCTGCTCAGCCCCAGCCTGGCCAGGACACGCCGTGGAGCTCCTTCCTCCCAGCCACGCTTGGTGCACCTCTCAGGCCCCATCGCAGCTCGGTTCCTGCTACGCCCTGCACATGAGCAGCACGAGGGAGCCCTGCTTCACCCCTGCAGGCACTTTATACCTGTTTCCGTCTCTGCAACGTGTCTCTATTGCCCAAGCGTCCGGCCCGGCGGATGTGAGCAGGGTGTGTTTGCAACTTCTCATCTGCAGCATTTGCATGAGTGGCTGGTTTCCTCTCTGCCCCGCTGGGCAGAGGACTTGTTCTCTCTCACTTCCCTATTTTGCCGTGATCTATAGAAGTTCAAAAGGGCAGGGACGGGGGTCTGACACCCTGATGCTTCGACTCACCCTTGTGAAAAGTTACTGGTGTGGGTACAGCCACAGCTGCTCACCTCCCCCCAGCAGCTTTAATTTCTGTTCCGTTACTGTGCTCGGCGGTACAACAGAATGAGCCTTCGCCTTCTCTTGCTGTCTACTTTATGTCTGGCAGTCACAAAAGAACATATACACACATACAACCAATTTATCAGTTAACTTCGGGAAAAAAGTACATATACACACTCTGAAGAAATGTGTAGGCTCAGCCTACAAGGCCTTCAGCCATACTGGCCTTTAAGAAATCTAGCACTGATAGATATTAGAGTAGCTTTTACTGGATTACCGTGAAAACTCTGGTGCTGGAGACCTTTTTCTTCCTCTTTTTTGTGCCAACGACCGTGGTTTGCATGCTGCATTTGTTGGCCTGATAAAAGGCGAGTTATGCACAGCACCTGGCACCTCCAGTGCTCCTGCACACAGCAACCTGTCTGCGGGTACCACGCTCCGGTCTGCAGGTCCCAGCACCTGTAAAGAGATTGCCAAGCAAAATGTTGTGACTGCTGCTCTCTAGTCTCACTCACGAAAACTTTGTTGAATTTGCCCAGTTTTACACCTATTACAGCTCACTTCCCTCCTCTCCCCTGCAGGGCTGTGGAAGCAGCAAGAGGAGACTCTTCAGACCAACTCACCACTTTCCCTCTTTCAACTGCTGAACAAAAGTGTTAACATCTCAAAGTTATTTTCTTTTTTTTTGTGTGTTTGTTTTTATTCTTTTCTTTGTTGTTGTTGTGTTTTGATTGCTTTTTTGTTTGCTTGGATGTTTTTTAAATTACTGGCTACTGCATATCTAAAGGCCTCATCCGTATCAGCAGCCTTGGGGACACGGTGACAATGCAGATTTCCGAGCAAGATACTCAAGGTGAGCATCCCGCATGGTTCTCTTCTACAGTGCCAACACTACAGATAATTGTAATCTAGCAGTTGACTTTGTTCCCTCCTTTGAGTTTCATTTTCCCCAAATGTCAGGGGAGGGAGAGAAAAAAAGAAAAAAAAAAAAAAAAAAGGGAAATTTTTATTGCATGGAAAAATGCCTGAGGGAAAAGAACTAAATTCAGCACTAACTTGCAAAGGCAGATTTTAAAGTTGCAAAATCAGAGCATAATTTGGCCCAATATTTTGCTTCAGTGTTTGGCTCAGTGGAAAGAAAAAAAAAAAAAAAAAAAAGGACATGTTTTTTCCTGTCTGTGAATTATTGTTAAAATGAAATATGAGTTTTCACAGACGTAAAAGTATCATTGCTGCGAGCAAGTATGAACAATGCTAAATCCTGGTCATGTGTACAACCCAAGAAGTGGCCAAAAAGCGCTCTTCTGAGAAAGTTGGAAAGTTGTGCAACACCCCATGCCAGCTAGTTTTAACAGCACCCAACGTGGAAATTGCTCTCCTTGAAACAACTTCTACCTAATTTGTAGCGGTTAATAACTAATGACACATAATTTTTAAATCCCAGCAACACTTTGCTAGTTCCTGCTTTTAATTAAAGCCGACTGGTAGCAAAGGGAAGCGGCGAGCCACAGCCTGTGCTGCACGGGGCCGGCAGCAGCGGCGGTACCCCACGTGTGCTGGCACAGGACCTCGTCCTCTTCTCCCAGCAACGTGTATTAATTCAGAGCCCTGTCAGGCAGGGCTCGGACTCCTGGTACTCCTAAACTAGCCAAGGGCTACCTGCCTCCTTTGGCGAGCATTGGCCATGGCTCCATGACCGGCATCCAGCCACAGATCTCCTCTTGGCCAAGTGAGCAGGACAGGCATGTGATGGGGAGTTAATGATCCATTAAAATGCATGCTAATTAACGGGATTTTTAGACTTCTCCTGACGTAGGGTCTTTTCTCTTGTGCCGTGCAGGTATAAAAGCGGCAGGAGGGCTGGCCACAGGCAGATATCACCTCCTCACCATCTGACACTGCCCCTGCTTCTTCCTGGGCAGCCCCTTCCCATCCACAACCAAGGCCAGGAAATAAAATCTCCTTGTGCCACAATGTGATCCTGAACACCTTGTGTAACAGCAGTCTGGGCATCACCGAGGCATTAAAGCAGAGACTTTTACACGGCTGAAGGAGATCTGTCCCCTTCCCACCATCCAGCAAAACCCCGAGCAGCTCTGACTGAAGGTCCACGGCCATCAACTCCCCCCCCCGGCAGAAGGCAGCTGAGTTTGAGTGCGGAGTCTTGAGGCAATTCTCTGTGCGCTCCTGAATTTGTTTTGCAATTGCCGTATGTCTCTCCCCATGTGCCATTAAGAGTTCAATTCTTTTATTCCTCCCCCCCGCCCCTTCCCCGCCTTTTTAAAGCATCATGTTTATGCAAGTGGACAGGAGGCTCTCATATCTGGGTCACACGTTTGCTGGAGGTCATTGAAAGGCTACAAAATGGAGCATGCCTAATTCTGCCATTTCAGAAGTTTTCTCACATGTACTCAAGACAATTATGCCTATTAAATGAGTTCATTAAATTTCAGAAATCCTTTGAAAATTCCGGCACGCCAAAAAATGTGCTGAACTCCTTTATTTCTTCTAACGCCTCCTAAAAATGCTCAAATCCTCGGAGGTGCTGGGGACTGGAGCTCGGCTGCCTGCGACGTGGCACAGACAGGACGTGTGTCCTGCCCCCGTCACAAGCCGAAGAAGCTAAGGACACAAAACAGAGCACCGAGGTCCACCAAGCGACCTTTAGCAGTGTCATTGGCCCAAGCGCCACTCTGCTGGGAATAATTCAGAGAGGAGAGAAATGTCACCGATGCTCGGCGAGAGCCGTGGGGTTTGTGACAGGACGGGACGTGCGGAACACTTCGAGGACCAAGAGCTGGCTCGGAGCTGAGCTGCGAACTTCAGGGATGCAGGAGGAAAGCAGAGGTGGGCTTTGGGTGTCCTTGTCAGCTCCTCTGCACTGCTCTCCGGCTGCTGCAAGGGACAGCCCCGTCTCTGCCCTCCCAGAGGAGCAGAGGGGACTGGAGAAGGACATTTCCTACGCCGAGCCACACGCTGAGAACAAGGGCTGAGCTGAGCCCTGCTACACATTAAGGCAGGGCACACCCCCTGCTCGGGGTGCGTGAGGTCTCAGGAGGAGGAGGAGGTGAGGAAGAAAGAGCCAGAAGCACAGCTCCAAGCTGCTTCCTAGGTTCAAAGCTTTTGTGACAAGAATTACCCTGGTGTGAGGCTGACCTGGAGATCAATACGGGCTACGTTTCTCCTTCTCCGGCCCTCAGCCACTGTCATGTAGGACTGGGTTCAAGAAAGCTATGTAGGAGGAAGATGCCCTGCTGTTCCCTCAAAGCCCTGTGGAGAGAAGGGGCACCTCAGTCCTGCTCTTAGGCAGTCTAACACAGGCAGACGAGCCTCCCTCTGTGAGCACCTGCCTCCGTTCCTAGGCAGGAGAAGCCACCGAGCATCACCAGCATTTCTCCCTGCCACCCCCCAGCCCACTGAGGGTCGGCCTGACAGAGAACAGAGCAGCTGGGGAACAGGAGAAGCCCTCAGTGACCCTCTCTTGGCTTTTTGCAGGGCTTTACTCCCTACGGACCACAAGCCCCAAGGTCTACTAGTGGGGCACAGGAGGACCCAGTTCAGAGGGAAGCAGCTATGCCCAGAAGGAAACATCCCAGTTCTCAAAAGGAGCTGAGCATCAGCCACTGCCTCTTCGTGAGCAGGAGCCAAGGGTGCCCGCTCATCACCATTACAAGTCCCTAACCCGCAGGTGCCTCACACCCACCACATCCGAATACCTTCTGGTAAGCAGGACCCTAACACACCCAAACAAAAGTTAATTTACTGTTGCAATGCTACCGCCACGCAGAGGTCACGTCATGGGATTGGTTTGGCAGCAAGAAGTTCTGCAAACCCACAAAACAAATACTCGGCAATATCGCAGAGGGTAGCACGCCTCTGCGCAGCGCTGTCACTCCTGGAGAAGCCCGTACTTCCACCGCAGCAATTTGGAAATTAAAATGTACACAAGATGATAGCTCATTAAGAAGTGTTTCTTTTCCGTGAGTAAGGGAACATTTATCACAGCTGGCCCACACCAACAATCAGCTTTGGACAGAAGCCACCTTTACTAATGAATGGGAGGGAACAGTTTTTAATCTCTCTGAGATCTCTTATCAATTGATTTCGGATGATGTATGGTCGGTTTTATTCTCCAAGAATTACGATACTCCTCAAGTGCCAGCAGAGACCCAATATTTTTATTGTATGGCTTTGTCTCCTGACACTATGTCATTTCGTCTTGACACTGTGGCAGCCTCCCTGCAGACTCGCTGCTATTGTCTCACATTATCCTTGTCTCCCCGGACTTGCATTGTCCTGCCTTCCCTGGTGATCACACTAACTCGGATTTAGACACACGGGAGGAGGGAAAAATAAAACCAGAAAGCCACCACATCATCCGATACCTCGGATTATTTTTAGCCAGAAAAATATGAAACAGAATGGTTTGCTGCTCCGCAGCCGGTGATGCTGTGAGAATTAGCTCACCTAGATTGATGATGTTTGTTCCGTGCTCGCCCACGAGTCGTGCAAAGCCCTTGAACGCTACCTGCACAGTCGGAAGGCATTATGCTGGCACTGAAGAGAGAGCCTTTGATCAGGTCCTCGGGAAATACTTCCTGCGTCCTCCTGAAGTGTAACTTTAGACCAGGCTCTACCAAGGCCACTTCACTCTTTTGTGCATCCCCTTGAGTTCAGTGGTGAATGAGCTGAAATTCGCTCTGTTTCCTTTACTAGATGGCATGTGTCAAGGATCCCTACGATCACTTTTATTACTAGCTTTATCTAAAGAGCTCCTTGCAGGAGCCCAGGGTGTCAGTGGTCATGAAAAGAGCAGAGCTGGGATATAACAGTATTTTACACCCCTCCAGGCCAGACAATTAACTGAGGCCCGTTAACGTCTCAGGTCTCAGGCCTAGATCCCGAGCAATGGCAAAGACGTGTCGGTTCTCACAGAGAAAAGGGGAAAGACCCCTCGCTTCATGGCACTGATCCACCTGCCAGAGAAGGGCAGATGGCAGGAGAAAAATTAAATAAAGCAAGGCACTGCACTGCTTTAATAATCTTCTGGGCCTCACTTTCAACGGAAAACTGCCACAATCTGGTGGCAAGAGGACAAGAAACAAATCACCTTCCTGTGGTCAGCTGCTACAGAACTCAGGAGCTGAGCCTGGCACAGGAAGGAGGCTCACGCTGACCCTCCTCAAGGACAATCCCCCCAGCTCCTGTTGATAGCCACACGCACGGAGCGGAGCATCTGCTCTGGTCCGGGGGCTCTCACTGGAATAGTCTCTGCAAGAGCAATGTCATACGAGATGTCAAAAACAAGAAGCAACATGTTCGAAGGGTGCCACTTGGAAATAAAGCCCTGCTTTTATTGGATAGCTGATCTGCTAAAAGCAGTTATTTGAAATATCTGCAGATCGCTGGGATCCGTGAATAATTGCTATCTGCACATCTCAAATTCTTTACAGTTTTGCTGTTAGACATAGCTGTGCATGTCTATAAATAGTAGAGCAATGTCGCTCACTGCATAATACAGTCTCTGTGCTTTTACAACTCATCATGAACTTCTATGTAATTTATTTTTTATTGAAGAATTCCAATTAATGGCTTCCTGGTGATTTTAAAGCCTCAAATTATCAGTCTCTGAAAACAAAGCAGAGAACATAATTATCATAAACCGAGAATTTTTCATTTTGAAGCTTATCTGTTTGTGCTAAGTATCTTGTCTGTAAGTAATTAGTGCCTTTATTTTTTTTCAGTAAAAATAATGACCATTCTATGCTTCACATCCAAATTTTGTTAACTGCTAGATGTACTGTATATATTATATTTGAAAATGCACCACCTTGGACCGGCTTTAAAGTATTTCATCAAATGATAATGGCAACAACAAAATACATCTGTTTGTCAGAATAAATTACATGACATTTAAAAAAAGCTATTATATCTTTTTCTCTTCCTTCAAAGAGTAAAAGCCTTTCAAAAATGTGCACTTCTTACTTCTTGCTATGGCGGCACAGCACGAGGAGATCGGGCAGCTGCTCTGTGGCCTGTCGGTAGCACCAAGCTGCTGATCACAGCCCATCGCAGATACCTGTGCAGCATCCTTTACGTGGATACCTCAAAATGCTTTGCTGGAGATAAGACCAAACACAGTTACATGTGTAAAATAGCACCGCACTCAGAGCTACACGTAGGCTAAGTTCTTCCCTGACTCCTGACCTAATTCACCAGTTGTTTCCCTTCAGATACTGTGGGACCATGCCCTTGTATCTCATGGAAACCCTGCAAAATCAGTGCAGCTGTTGAGCAGGGCCACCAGAGTATCGCCGGGCATTTTGTGTGGTATCCTACAGCCAGCCAGGAACATAAAAGGAAGTCTGATCCTACAGACAGCATTCCTTGCCTGGATTTCATAATGATGGAGGAGAGAGGATCCCACCGAGCTGATACCCCGTGTATAACTCTGTCTGGTCTAACACCTGGCCTCTCTTAGCAGAAGATGTGATTTCTGGGATGATGAAGAGAATTCCTCCCAGAGAACCAGGACCATTCTGCCTACACTTGGGCCCTTTCTGGCTGACCATGGAGCTGATCACTTCACACGATAAAACATTAGGATTATTGATTCTTCTCCTTACAGGAACTATTTCCAGACAACAATTCATCACCAAATTATTCCATGCTTCAAGAAGTCCGCCAAGCACAAGGGCTGGATACTCAGTTTAGGGTAGATAGCTCATAATGGGAAAAAAAAATTGAGAATTTCTCAGAGACAGTTTAGAAATGAAAAGGAGCTGCAGATTAAAAAAAAAAAAAAAAAAAAAAAAAAAAAAGCCTCAAAATAATGCAGCCATCTCTTATGTAGCCTTTTATGTTAGTAAGGTGATCGTCCCCTGTACTCGGCTCTGGTGAGGCCGCACCTCGAGTACTGTGTTCAGTTCTGGGCCCCTCGCTACAAGAAGGACATCGAGGTGCTTGAGCGGGTCCAGAGAAGGGCGACGAAGCTGGTGAGGGGCCTGGAGAGCAAGTCCTATGAGGAGCGGCTGAAGGAGCTGGGCTTGTTCAGCCTGGAGAAGAGGAGGCTCAGGGGTGACCTTATCACTCTGTATAAGTATATTAAAGGAGGCTCTAGCGAGATGGGGGTTGGCCTGTTCTCCCATGTGCCTGGTGACAGGACGAGGGGAATGGGCTAAAGTTGCGCCAGGGGAGTTTTAGGTTAGATGTTAGGAAGAATTTCTTTACTGAAAGGGTTGTTAGACATTGGAACAGGCTGCCCAGGGAGGTGGTTGAGTCACCATCCCTGGAAGTCTTCAAAAGACGTTTTAGATGTAGAACTTAGGGATATGGTTTAGTGGGGACTGTTAGTGTTAGGTCAGAGGTTAATCATTCTTCAACGGATTGACTTCAACTGTTGGAGGCCAGGAGAGGTCTCTCAACACAGGAATAACTGCCCTAGCCGGGGAAGTTATGTGATTCCATCTAGCCACAGAGTCCTGAACAAATTTGTGAGCACCTGAAGCAGCATCAGACAGCCCTGCACAGGAGGGGCTGCAGCGGTGACGGAGATGCCTGAAGGGTACGTACAGCTTCAGGATCTCAGGGAGGCAGCTGCAGCTTCAGCTGTGGGCAGGAGGAAGTCCTGTGCCCACCGTGACACCTTTGTGTTGTGCTTGGCACACGCAGCTCAAACCAGGGAGCGAACTGAACCAAGACTGGAAGCAGCCAAGGCAGGTAACAGGAGAAACCTGCAGTACCTTTGCAGAAGCACTGGTTGTAAGGCAGGAATTTAACCCTGACACGTGATACGGTGAAATCCTGCTCCTGATTGGTACCTGGGGAGCTGGGGTGGAAGGGAAGCACGTATATTTGCCATCAGTCTGCTGCCAGGAGCAGGAGACGCGTGTCACTGAGGTCTCAGTCGTGCACAGACCTTCGCGTGAGCTTCCTGCAGTCTCCCTTGACTGCTCAGAGTCGGGCTGTTTGCAGGTGGGATGCCTTGCCCAGGCCAATCAATCACAAGCCGAAGCACAAGGGCCTGCCCCACCTGCTGGTTTGTAGATGTGAGCTGCAGCCTCACCCCCACCTGCCTTGAGCAGTCTGTGTCGTAGAGGCCCCCACAGCAAAGGGCCACGAGGACAGAGGGAGACCCTGGCACACGTCTCTGGTCCTGCATTCGCTCAGCACAACAGATCATCCCCTGAACCACAGGGCGAGGTGGGGACCGGGTCCAGATGGGAATGAGAATGCCACGCCAGCCATTCTCAACATCACAACGAATAAGGAGCTGAAGGAGCCAATTCATTCCCAGGTTGCCCCAGACTGTTAATCAAGTAACAGTCCCAGCCTCAGAAAGGCTGCTCTCTGCCAGACACCCCCCTCTCCACGGTCTGCAGGCAGGCATCAAGCTATCCCCTGCGTTTATCATGTAGTAGACACTTCCTAGAGGGAATTTCAAAGGAACCTCGGAAAAAGATCCTGATCCCATACTTTTATATCATAAATAGACATGCATTAAAAATACTAAGTCAAATTAGAGTAACGTCTCCTGTGGGTTCCCCTGCTGCCTCGCCAGGGGGCTCCTTGCTCGGTGACCCCCGTGTGGCATCCCCACTCCTTGCATGGCTTGGGTGGCAAATGTCCCTTTGAAACCTGAATGGGGTTTAAGGTCCCTGCCTGTCCTGACCGTGGCACAGATCGGAGCTGGTGATCGGAGCCCCAGCTCGTATCTCCTGCACCCTTGAACCAAGATCCTCAGCTTCGCTGCTGAGCTCTCTCTCCTTTTGGCAGACATCCAGGCCAGCTGCTAAAATAAATCTTTTTTTTCCCTGCAAGCTCTGAAGTTCTTCTACTGGCAAAAGGTAGCAATAGTGGTGGTGTGTCTTGGCGTTTATCCTAACTGTGCAATCCACCCCGAGCCACCTCGCCCCGCGCCTCCTAACCGCATGGGCAGGACGGAGCAGAGAAG